CGCACTTTCAACTCGGGGACCACAAAAGCTAGGCGGCTAAAATTTTGGTATAGTGTTCCCCGCCAAAGGGTGACGCGGCAAATTTAAATTCAGCCTTCTCTTACCCGCGGGTAACAAGTACGGCCCCGGGAAAGTTTTTTACGGGTAAATTAATATCTCAGGAATCACGGAGTCTGTGAGGCTGAAATTTTATGGTAATGACCCCCTGCCCATGCCCAACCTTGCCCATTCAAATTCAGTCTTCCCGAACCCGCGGGTAACACGTCCGGCCTCGTGAATGTTTTTTACAGGTAAATTAATATTTCAGGAACCACGGCGTCTGTGAGGCTAAAATTTTAAGGTAATGACCCCCTGCCTACACTCAATCTTGCCCATCCAAATTAAGCGTTCCCTCGCTGTTGAGTATCACCTACCGCTTTGTGGGAATTTTGGCGGTTAAATTATTAATTCGGGAATCACGGAAAGATATTCGCCCTTCGAGCTTTCGAATTCAGCTTTCGTGCGCTGGTGCGTGAAATTTTTAATTGTTTTCCAATGTTTGAACTATTTTTGCATAGACAAAACTACAAAGCAGTGGAAATCATTAATAGGCAATCGTTCGATGCGCTGAATTGCACAAAACGCATGATCGAACTGGCTAGTCTGGTGCGCGTTGCTATTTGTTTTTCCTTGCTTCCTTCCTTTCAAGCCATCAACCTTTCCGTCTCCCTTAATTGGCCTAGGCAACTACCAAAGGATCTACGTCACATAGCCATTTAGTGCATTCACCCAACCCGCCCTCCTGCCTCGAGTCCTCGCGCGCAAAACCCGCACATACCATCCCCCTCACCCTCGCCCCAACTCCTCCCCGCGTCTCGAATCCAACACCCAAAAGTGTGCTTACGCATTGCCAATTCTTTCCCTCCTCCCCCTTCTCCTCCTCCCCCCCCTCCCCCCTTTCCCTTTTCCCCTTTCTTCAATGCCCTCTGCAGTGTACATCCCTCCCAAGCCCTTCTCATACCCCGCGCATCCGCGACAAAACCAGCAACGCGGGTCCTGCTTCCTTCCGCCCATCACCTCCTCTCCCCTCTCCCTACGTGGCCACTCGACATTCTTACCCAATTAAGTTGCTCAGTACTGATTTTGCCCAGTACTGATTGGTTCCTGAGGCAAATTCTGAGAACGGATCGTTCTAGTCTGGCAATATCAAACTCTTTCTGCTTATAAATACTTATAAACCGCCTAGCGCAGTCCTGGAATCCCCCTGAAAGAGTGCAAATACGTGCATAAAGAAGTTGCGAAATAATGACACCTTGCACTGTTTGGTCCATATCACTATCTGGATACACTCCGTGATTTATGGTGAATGGATAATCTAAGGTCTTGCTGTATACACTGAAAATGCAACTGCCCTCTTGGCAAATTTCGAGATCTAAGAAGCAAGCCGTTTGTCCGGAGTAGGTGGTGTTGCGTTGCAAGCTGGGTGCAGAGATATTACTGGCGATTTCAGCAGAGTTGGCGCAGTTAATAGTGAGGATGAAAAATAGACTCAGCCATGCAAAGGTTGATTATTAGCGTAAATGTCCTGTATTCACTGTTTCCTTTTTTTTTTAAATTTTTTCTCTCGGAATTTTTTTCCGGGATTTAAGTATTAACAAGCTGCATACTCCAAAATTTCTGCCCGGATTTTTTTTGTGGGAGCAGAGGACGGAGAAACGAAGCTAAACTGTGTTACCAGTAGAGTTCTAAAAGGAGAAATTATATTTTAGATCTGCGATGACACTCCGTACACGACGAGCAACGCGATCGGCGGTGGCCCACGTCTCTGGGTGGTCTGGGAGTCCACTTCCAGCAGAGCAATTTTAATTCAGTACAACAAAAACTGCAGTGAAAAAAGCCGGTGCTGTACTATTGAACGATGATCGTGTTAGCTCTGCTTCAGGAAGCATCACAGTTGTCTCCGACTTCTTGTCTTTTTGAAGCAACGGAATTGTCTCCAGTTCGAATGTGCACAGTTCATTTCCTCCCCTGCCGAAACTTTCACGAGGCCGTAAGTGATACGTGGGCATGCAGGAAGGACAAATTTAAATCTGCGAGATTATATGTGGGTGGGGGAAATTACCGTAAAATCTCAGCTTCGTGGCTTTATGGTTCCCGAGATAATTTACCCGCCAAAACTTTCACAGGGCCGTAGGTGGTGCCCAAGGGCGCAGTAACGCTGAACTTGAATTTGCGAGGTTGTACAGGGATGGGGGAGGGGGAGGGTCATTGCTTTGAAATTTCGACGTTCTAGATTTCATGGTTCCCGAGATAATAATTTATCCGCCGAAACTTTTACGAATCCGTACATGTTGCCGTGGGTGTTTACGAATCCGTACATGTTGCCGTGGGTAGGGGGATGCTGAATTTGCACTTGCGTGGTTG